ACTATACTACAAAGCAATAATCATCTAAACAATTTGGTGAGAAATAGAAAGATTAGTGAGTAGAACAGATTAGATATGAAACATTTGTTTCTCTTATACATGGCAGAAGCAAATAAATATAGTTAACTTAGTGTTTGATAAACCTAAAGATCCCAGCTATTGGGGGCAAGAACTCACTATTTGCCACAAATTCTTGGGACTACTGGAAAGTAGTCTGTTAGAAACTAGGTATAGACCAACATCTCATGCCATCTATCAAAATAATCTTCAAAGGGATATATGATTTAGACACAAAATATGACATAATAAACAAATTAGAGGAACATAAAAGAAAATGTTGTTTGTTGTTTCATGTCTGACTCTTCGTGACCCTGTTTGGGGTTTTCTTGGCAAAGATATTGGAGTGGTTTTCCATTTCCTTCTCTAACTCATTTTATAGATGAGGAAACTGAGGCAAAGAGGGGGTGAAGTGACTTGCCCAGGGTCACACTGCTAAGTGTCTGAGGCCAGATTTGAACGCAGGAACATGAGTCTTCCTGATTTCAGGCCCAGCACTCTATCCACTACACCACCTAGTAGCCCATAGAAGAAAGTGCCTGTCAGATATGTGGACAGGAGAAGAGTTCATGATGAAAGAGGAGATAGGTTCATAGGACATAAAATGGGCAATTTAAATTATATATAATTTGAAAGTTTGTGCAGAAACAACCAATTCATCTAAAATTAGAAGAGGGAAACTAGGAGAAAATTTTGCAGCAAGTTTCTCTGATAAGGATCTCATTTCTAAGATATATAGGGAACTGAATCAAGTTTACAAGAAAAAAGCTATTCCCCAATTAATAAATGGTCAAATGATATCAATAGGTAGTTCTCAACAGAAGAAATACATGCTATCAATAACCAAATGAAAAATGCTCTAAGTTACTAATAATTAGAGAAATGCACATTGTGAAACTCAGATTGGCTAAGATGACAAAGAAAAAAAAGGAAATTTATAAATACTGCAGGGGTAGTGGGCAAACAGGTACACTAATGCACTGTTGGTAGAGCTGTGAACTAGTCCAACCATTCTGGAATGCAATTTGGAAGTATGCCCAAAAAGCTATTAAATTGTACTGTTGACCCAGCAATACTGTTACTAAGTCCATACCCCAAAGAGTTCAGTGAAAGCGGGTAAGGACTCATATGTACAAAAGTATTTATAGCACCTTTTTTTAAATAGTGGCAAAGAATTGGAAACTTAGGGGATAAAGGAATGCTCATCAATTGGGGAATGGCTGAACAAGTTATGATGTATGGATGTGTTGGAATAATATTGTGCTATGAAAAGTGATGAAGAGAATTATTTCAGAGAAACCTGGGAAGACTTATGTGAACTGATGTGAAGTAAAGTGAATGTAACCAGGAAAACAATTTATACAGTTAAGAGCAGTATTGTAAAGATAACTCTGAAAGGCTTAGGGACTCTAAAATTGAAGATTGAGGCTTTTGTTTTTGTTTTTGTTTTTTTGGATATGGCTGAATGCAGAAATTTATTTTGCCTGAGTATACTTGTTTATAGTGGGTGTTGTTTTTCTTGTTTTCTCAGTGGGTCGGGGGAGATAGGAAGGAAAGAATTTGAAGTTGACAATAAAAACAAATGAGTTAACGAAACTGATATTCTGCAGCAGAAGCCTGATAAGTAGAAATCAATTTGGCCCTCATTCACTAACAACTTTGTTTCTCCTAACCTTGCGTGGCCCTAAGACTTTTATCTTTGGGGTAATCCAGTACCACATCCCTTAGTTGACATCACTGCCTCTAAAATGAATAATGTACGTACTACTGCTAATGAAAGAAAGGTGGCTTCACAACCTTGTTCGAGGTTGTTTTTTCCTGCCTAGACATGTCTGTCTGACATGAACATAATTACCTTTGTCACACCACAATATTCCCTGAGCCTCTGCACATACTGAGGGCCCAAAAGTACATCTCACCCATCTCTGTATCCTTTAACAGAGCCTAACAGTCTTGCACATAGTTGCTACTCAAATGATAGTTGACGACTGACTGGCTGGATTTCTAACAGACAAGTTCTATATTATAGCCCCAGAATGTAAACTCTATTTAACCATCAACTAACCCTATGGATCCCCCAAAAAGGTAGAATTAAGCTTTTCCCCCTGTATTACTGTATATCCATAAATCTGACTAGAGCCCTACTTTGATGCCTGCTCAAGCACTGGCAGATCTTACTGAACTGGACAGGCTTTGAATATGGGCCTGGTGACGGTCAATCTGTCATCCAAGAAGCAGCTTAGCTATCAGCAGAAAGGTTGGCTTGATGCCTCCTAATTTGTTTTTGGTCACAGGTTTCTACTATGGCCTAAAGGAGATTAAAACAGCCCTTGAGTTATTTAAGTGAGCGTTCATCTGGATATAAAAATATATCAAAATGATATATGAGTTGTTATCTAGCTGCTAGTATAAGATCATAGGATCTCGAGGGAGGGGGACCTTAAGCATCATCTAGTCCACTCCCTTCATTTACGAATAAAGAAATTGACCCAGGGAGGTAAGACAGTTTCCTCAAACATGCATATAACAATAGTAATAATAATTAGTGTTTATAGAGCACTCTAAGATTTGCAAAGTACTTTGCATATATTATCTCATTTGACTCTCATAACAATCCTGTGAAATAGGTATTATTATAATCCCTGTTTTACAGATGAGGAAACTGAGGCACAGAAAAATTAAATCAGTTTCCCAGTGCCATATAGTGTCTAAGGAAGGATTCTAATCCACGTCTTTCTGACTCTTAAGTTTGGTATATCATACCATACTGCTTCTTAGAATACCCTATTCTAAATTTATGTCCTGTCAATAAATTCTTGCCAATCTTCATTGGTAGAGGGAGATTCCTACCTAACAGTGAAATCACAGGTCTAGTCCTTAATACTCTATCACTAATAAATTTTTCTGACAATTGACTCGTGTTTTAATAATAACAATTTCCATTCTTAAACATATTCTCTGTATGTGACTTAGTGTTGTATGTACATACTTGTATACACACATACACATATACATACATATGTACACTGTGTGTTTAAGACAAATGAGAAGTGTCTTTTTTTTCTGGACAGCCCTGTAGAACTAACCCCATATAATGCTCTTCATTCTTGCACATCCCTCACCTAGTGTTTAATGAATTTGTTAGCTAATTTGAACTTAATTGAAATATTGCTTTATGATATTGTTCATCTTGATTTTAAGTATATTTTTCCACTTTCTCAGCAATAAATGCTTCTTGAAAGCAGGAATTAAGTCTGCTATTTCTTTTGGCATATCCCCTAAAGCACATAGTAGCAACAATAATAATTCATATTTATAATTCAAATTCATACACTATATATATTTGAGGTTTACAACACATTTTCTTGACAACCCTGCTACAGTTTTTCCCAGTTTACAAATGAAGACATTGAAGCTTAGAGAGCTTAAGTGAAATTGTTCATAGTCATGCAACAGTGTCAGCTAGGATTTAAATTCTAGGATCAGGTTTCGTGAATCCATGTGCAGTATTCTTTTCATTCCGCTACGCTGCCTCTCTCCATTATTGCATTACAGATAGTGGAGACTTAGTAAATGTTGACTGACTGATATAACTATTTTGAGGTGTAATTCAAAGTATTATATCAGAGACTTTAAGTTAAATTTAATTCAGCACAGTAAGCTATATTTAGAGCACTGTGCTTGGCTGTGGAGATGCAAAAATAAAAACAATACATCCTTTGTCCTCAAGGAGCTTCCATTCTACTGAGGAAAGTGCACAAATAAGGATAGTACAAAGAAAATTAAGGAAGGAGACCACTGACAAATGGGGGATGGGGAAGGCTTCATGGAGGAGGTGGTGTTTGAGCTGAGATTGAATGCAGTAGAAGCATTTTGAGAGGTGGAGATGACGAGTTAATTACAAACTTGTAAAGATTATGTTGGGGACTATGGAGAGTGGATTGGAGAGAAGAAAGACCATAAACAGTAATCCACACCAAAGGTGTTAAATGCTTAAACTACGGTATTGTGTGCATAGAAAGAAGAGGATAGGTCCAAGATAGTGTACTGTGCATAGACAGGCCTGATGAGATTTGGCAAATAATTATATTGAGGGTGAGGAAGAGGGAAGAGTCAAGAATGAATGACTCCAAGATGACCAACCCAAGAGCCTGGAGGGGTGGTGTGGTGCCTGCCTGTGATGGAAATGGAGAAGTTAGGAAAGGGGATGGGGAGACAGTTTAGGAAGAAAGATAACGAGTTCTGTTTATGACTGTTGGTGTCTGGGAGGATGGTGCTGGTCTCAACTGAACTAGAGAAATTTAGGCTGATTTCAAGGAAGATACAATGGGTTCTTTTTCAGGTGTGTGGAGACTGAGGTGCCAATAGAACACGTAAGAAAGGTCCAACCATTAGCTGATGATGCAGGATTATGGCTTTGGAGAAAATGAGGACTGTATTTGTAGATTTGGAAGTAATCTACATATAGATGCTACTTAAACCCATGGGAATAGATGAGGTCACCAAGAAAGAGTGGTGTAGAAGGAAAAGATCATGCAGAAAACCAGTGTGATCTACTGCTTCTATGTCATACACCATCTGTACAACTTTATGAGGAAAAGCTGTTCCTTGCTACCATATTTGTGAATTTTTAAAATGCAATTTCCAAAGGCTCTCATGAACTAGGTTGTTGCTGATAAGGCAGCATTCTAGGGATTTATTTCATTACTCCATACTTGTGGCCATGCAGTGCTAAGGGTGGATTCTCTTTCTTCTTTCCTCCCCCTCCTTGGAATGTGTGTGTGTGTGTGTGTGTGTGTGTGTGTGTACACACACAGGCGCTCCTCCAGAGACAAGTGTTAGCCTTTCTAACTGGTACTAACATTTTCTTTGACAGAGATCCCTGATCTCATGGAACAAACTTCTTTTTTTTTTCTTTCTTCTTTTTTCTTCCCCTCCCCCAGCTGATAATAGGACTAAAAAGAAAGTGGCCCATCGGGAAAGGAAGCAAGATTTCTCTGCCTTCAAGCAGACAGACAGTGAGATGAAGGTTAAAATATCACCACAGCTGCTTCTGGCAATGCACCGTTTCCTAGCAACAGGCAAGTGCCGCTTATCTCGGTTTGGAATCACTTGTTTCTCACCAGCCAGGACAGGGTGGGCTGTGGGGGGGCACTGGGAAATGGGGTGACAAATAATGCCACTTTTGTGTTTTGTTTTGTTTTGTTTTTCTTTTTAAACTCTCTCCTCTCCTGTGTTCAGTGTCGGCATGAACCCTCTGAGACATTTACCAGGGGTGGACCAGTAACTTTAAATTGGTCTGAAAGGTAAGGATGAACGTTAGTGCTGCCACCCTGCATGTACAGTTCATCAGGTTAACTGCTCGCAAATAAACCCCACGGTAGAGCCTGCTTTTGTGGAGTAGGGAACCAAGTCATGAGACCCGGACATCATCTGGGTCCATTTGGTATTTAGGCAGTTGACCAATTCGCCTTTATTCACCTTGCCTGGAAAGAACTGTGGATACCAGTGGTAAGGTAACACAGACGACCGTACCAATTTGTAAAGCAGATAGATTTTCAAAATAAAATCTTTGACTCAACTAGTTTTAATGAAAACAAGAATATCAAGTTTTTTACATGGATTTCTCGATGGCCTCTTCAAATAAATTGGTAAATTGAATCTATTTCCATTAGTCATGTTACCCAATTCACCAATATAGCCGGCACTGACTGATGCAGAGGTCAAGGTTGAATACACCAAAAAAACCATTCTCATGCTCCCTCAGTGGCCCCTTAGGGGAAGAGTGAGCTTTGTCTATCTAGCAAGAGGATTGGGAGGAAATCTGGAACTGCCCAGCGACTCCTTCGAAGACTACATCTACGCCGCCCCTGTCAGTAACACACAGTGTGCTGGAAAATATTATGAAAAGAAGAAAAATGGGATTCACAATTTTTGTGTTTGAAATTTCCATACATATTCTTTTGGTTTAAGAAAAGAACAAACATCAAGCTTAACTCATTATTATTCTGCATTTTAAAAATTCTGATAATATTGTTGTCTGCCATCTAGGAACCATTATTCAAAACTAAAGCAAATAAAGTTGTTCATTATCTGGCTTTTAGGTTGTTCTATAGGCCTGGTCAAATGCAGCTGTGAGAAGTTAGTAATTGGTATTCTTAACATTTATAATGAAACCGCATTTTCCCCAAGTGTAATAACAACTGTGATTTTAAAAAAATCATAAGTTGAATGTATATTAGACTGTGATTATGTCTTCTCTTATTTGTGAATCTCTAAACCTCTACACTTACTTTTATTTCTAGTAATGTCAAAAGAAGGAAGAATTGTGAAAATGAGATTCTGACAGCATCTTGTGCTTATGTGGGTGTGTGAGAGAGAGTGAGGGAGGAGAGAAATGAAGAGATGTGGGAAGGAAGGAAAAGGAAAAGGGGAGAGGGAAGAGGAAAAAAGGAGGAGGCAGAAGAGGGTGAAAGAGAGAGGAAAGGGAGAGAGGAGAGGGAAAGAGGGGACAGGTGAAGGAGAAAGAGAGATGGAAGAAGAGAGAGAGACAGAGAGACACTGAAAGAGACAGAGATTAATTCTATATTTTTAGGTGCCTCTGGCCCTGGGACTTGTGTTCTTCTGGGTCTTTGTCAGACAAGCTGTGTTATAGCTCAGAGAAAGGCATGCTAGGGATCAGGGAGTCTGTTTCTGGTTGATAATCTTTTTCTCTAACTGGGAAGTCAGGTGCTTTTTGTGAAAATGAAATTTAATGAATGAATCAGGGTGGTAAAAAGGAATGAAAATGAAACAAAAGAGAATTCAGTTTTTTCTGATTCTCCTAGGACCTAGGTGATCGAGCCCCTAGTGGATCAACAAGCAGAAGTTTCATTAACATATTAATGTTTCATTTTGCATCCGTGATCTCTTTTTACTCACTTTAGTGTTAATTTATACTATTCTTTGCCACATATTCAAAATGTAATATCAAGTTGTGTTTATATCTGTAGAAGTAGAAGCATTTAGCCCGTCGCAGATGTCAGAGAAGATCCTTCTAAGGCTGCTAAAACATCCCAATGTCATCCAGGAGCTGAAGTACGATGAAAAGAACAAGAAAGCCCCAGAATACTACCTCTACCAGCGAAACAAACCTGTAGACTACTTCGTTCTCATTTTGCAGGTTAGAAGAATTATTTAATAGTAATTTCTCTTTTGGTACCTTTCTTTCCTTCCATCTGATCAGGCTTTTTAAACCTTCTTACACTAGATGGACAAGAGCCAAGGTTCTCATGTCCTGCTTCATATGACCTTAGCTATGGAAAGCTCTAAGCGGTATGCCTCTTTTCATTTCTGTATTCTGATCTGCAAATAGCCTTACTAAAAAGTAATGTCAGTGATCACTTTTATGTCTTTGACTAGAAGGCTCTTAGTAATTATAGAAAGTATTGAGTTAAATTAAGAATATTTAGAGTGGTTGAACTTGTTGAAGAGTTTTAGAAGGTGAACTCAACTGATGCAAACCCATACTTTGACAGAATGGCTAAAGGCTAATTGGTATGCATCTCTTAGTAACTTTTGCCCAAACAATGGGAGTTTGGTTTTCCTGGGTTCCAAAGAGATCCTGTTCCCTTTTTTCTTATCTCTATCATCTATCTGATATTTCAGATTTTTCCTTGGTGATTCCTAGATACTGACCAACCCCTGCCTTCCTTCACTTTGGAGATAAAATGACATTATGCTAGTCTCACTGACATGCCCTGCTCTAGTACTATGAAATTTGGTCTAAAGTGGGAAGGTGGATCCACCTGGGCCTGTGTTTGATGAGATGGTGTTCTAGTGTACAAAACAACCTGGTGGCAGAATAGACACTTAGCCCAGAGCAGCATTTGAGTAAATATTCTGGATAAATTACCCTTTGAATTTGCCTTGTTCACCCAATTGATTTGGGCTGTTTTTGCAACATTTCAAAGATTTTCCAAGGCTTTCTGTGCAGCTTCATTGTCTGAATGTGGTTTTCTAATTTCTGAGCAATGGTTTGTTGCATTCTAGAACAGAGCTGGAGAAAATAGAGTGAGGAATGGGCATTAAATTCAGGGACCAAAATCATCTTTCATAAGCAGAAATGGTTTCTTTGAAAGTAACTCTTAAATAAGCTTTTTCTTCTGGTTAGGAAAATGAGAAAGAATTGTATCCATGTGTGACCCTCTGGATTAGCAAGTAATGAATGATTCTAAAAAATGCTATGCATTAAAGAGTTACTTCTAAGTTTCATAAAGCTTTTCTATGACACCTCTGTTTGATGGGCCTCTAACTCAGCAGTTTGATAGCTACTCTAGCCATAGGCCTGGTTCACCCTTGAATTGAAAATGTATTTTTTTTTCCTTTGGACATAGAGAAGTTGCAAACTCTGACAACCTTTGGGAATTCTTTTATGTTAACTATGAAGAGGGAGCAAAGCAAACATTAATTTGTCAGGTAGGGTAATGGATACTGCTCTGAAATAGAGAGAAAATATGAGTGATGGTGAAAGCCATTTACTATTTAGAAAGAGGCTTTGTGAATCTCTGTAGTAATATTGTAAACAGTGTAGCTATTCATTGTTTTTCTCTCCTCTACATATAATTAGGATTTCATTTTCATAAGTGCTGTTTTATTACCTAATCTAATATGGAACTACATCTATGTCCTGAGTGTAGTCCATATTGACATTGCTTTGTTGATTTTTTTGGGGGGAGTCTGGATTTGTTATTTTATTTTTTATTTTTAAGTTAAATTTGATTTTGTAAGTTCTAACTTAAAAACCAAAAAAGGACCATTTCTATATGTACATTAGAACACAACAAGATAATTGTGTATGAAACTGTGAAACCTCCATGCCATACAACTTGCTTTAAATAAAAAGTATATCATAATGCCACAGGTTACTTCAAAAACTAACCTGTTTGTGCTTCCTTTTTGTGAATTTCAAACATGTTTCAGTAACCCTCGTTTTGGCATCACCAACTCTTCCATCTCCTCTCCAATTAAAAACTGAGAGAAAAAAAAACACACCTCTTGTAACAAATAACCACAGCCAAAGAAAACTAGACTACACAGTGACTATGTGCAAAAATGTATATCTGTACCTTGAGTCCATTAACTCTGTCAGGAGGTGGGTAACATGCTTCATCATATGTCTCCTGAAGACAAGATGTTTCATCGCATTGATAAAAGTTCTTAAGTCTTCCAAAGTTTTTTTTTATTACAGTGTTGTTATCCCTGTATAAATTGCTTTCCTAGTTCTGCACACTTCATTCTATATCAGTTTATTATTACCCATGATTCTCTGCAGTCATCTCTTTTGTCATCTTCTTTCTATATCATCACTTCATTCTATATCAGTTTATTATTACCCATGATTCTCTGCAGTCATCTCATTTCTTATGGCACAATAATATTCTGTTACATTCAGGTTGTTCAGCTTTCCTCAATTGATGGGTACTTGCTTAGATTCTAGTTCTTTGCTTTTTATCCTGCTTCAGGATCAAGTAGTTAGTTTTGCCTGTGGTTATTCTGTTTCCAATATCACCATCCCTCTTATCTCTGCCTCCCATCCCTGTTTGTTTCCCTGTTGAGTTTGATGTCTTTCTACACCAAACTGTCTGTGTCTGATTCAGGTAAGAGTGAGATTCATCTGATAATCCATTCTCTCCACCACTTCTTCCATGTTTGTATACCCTTCTCATATACTCTAATTGTTAGAAACAGTAAGTTTCATCCTCTTCTTCCTCCTTTCTACACAAGTCTATTCATTTTACCCTCTTCTTTTTCCCCTCTTAAAACCTCAGAACAGAATCAATTCATCCCCAGTAGCCTCTGATTTTCAAATTTAGGAAACTTGGTGTGAAATTTCCTCCACCAGTACAGCTTCACAACTTCTCTATAACTTATAGTTCTGGAGGAAGCGCTGATTGGGTCAGTCACTTACTTGCCTGTGGTCTCAGAGGTAATATGTAGCAGAGATAGGATTTGAACTTAAGTCTTCCTGGCTCCAAGACTAGCCCTCTATCCACTACACCATGACACTCCTTGTTTTGTTGATGTACATGTGAAATTCTTACAGAGTAGTCATGTTTTCTTTTCTTTTTTCTTTTTGGAAAATATTTCATTCTTCACAATTACATGTAAAAACAATTTTAACATGAATTTAAAAATTTTTTGAGTTCCAAATTCTCTTTCTCCCTGAGAAAGCAATTTTATATAGATTATACAGGTACAATCATGCAAAATATATTTCCACATTAGTCACGTTGTGAAAGAAAACATAGACAAGAAAGAAAGAAAGGAAAAAAGAGAAAAATAGGGGCAGCTAGGTGGCGCAATGGATAGAGCACCAGCCCTGTAGTCAGGAGGACTTGAGTTCAAACAGACACTTGACACTTACTAGCTGCGTGACCCTGGCCAAGTCACTTAACCCCATTTCCTGGGGGGAGAGAGAGAGAGAGAGAGAGAGAGAGAGAGAGAGAGAGAGAAAGAGAAATAGTATGCTTTTATCTGCATTCAGACTCCGTCAGTTCTTTCTTTGGAGGTGGATAGCATTTTTCATCATGAGTCCTTTGGAATTGTCTTAGATCATTGTATGACTGAGAATAGCTAAGTCATTCACAGTTGATCATCATACAATATTGCAGGATCTCAGAGACAGTTCAGGCTGGAGACTTATAAGCTTTCAATAATAATGATGATAATAATAATAATAGCTAACATTTATATGATGATTACTATGTACCCGGCACTGATCCAAGGCAAAGTCTGATTGCTACCCCTCTTTTATGAGCTCTACAAGTTCCTGACCTTTGTACAATGTTCTCCTGGTTCTGTTCATTTCACTTTGCGCCAGGTTCATGTAAGTCCAGGTTTTTCTGAAACTGTCCTGCTTGCCATTTCTTATAGCACAGTAGTATTCCATTACAATCATATACCACAACTTGTTCATCCATTCCCCGATTGATGGACATCCCCTCAATTTCCAATCTTTGTCACCACAAAAAGAGCTGCTATAAATATTTTTGTACAAATAGGTCCTTTTCCCTTTTAAAAAAAATTGCTTTGGGATACAGACCTAGTAGTGGTATTAATGGATCAATTTTACAGCTCTTTGAACATTGTTCCAAATTACTCTCCAGAATGTTTGGATCAGTTCACAATATAGTAGCCATGTTTTCAAATTTCTTTCCATTTAGCAATTTGTCTGATTAACAAATATATTATCTTTTTAGTAAGATATTTTAAGTATTCCTAGCAAATTTGCTATTTTTCATATTCATGTTGATAATGCTATGCAGTTTTATTAAGTGGGTATGTTTTTGGTTAAGAGGGCGACCTGGCAGTGAGCGCTAAGCTGGTGCTGGCTATAAAATGATACAATTGGGTGATCTTAGCTCTTCCAGGATAGTCAACTGCTTGAAGCATCTGTAAAGTACTAGAAATTTCTTTCTAGAGGGGTAACCAAGATGGCAGAATAGAAGGAAACAGTGCAGTGAGCTTTGCCCCTCCCAAAATACAACAAACTACCTCCTCCAAACATATCTAGACAACACATCAGACCAAATCCTGATGGAGAAATCCAAGACAAAGTTATAGTGAGTCATTTTTCCAGCCTAGATCAGAATGGAGAGAAAGACAGAATGGTCTATGTACACTAGGGATGGGGACTGGCTGGAAGTATCATATGAGGAGCCTATTTACCTGGGAAAAAAAACAGAGGGCCTAGAACCTTCCCAGGGCATCTCCAGACCCATACCAGAGCATTTCAACAGGGACTGCTGCCAACTGGAAACTTGGTTGCCCATTACCCATTTCCAAATCATAGGGACTGGAAGTAGCATTCCTAGCTAGGGAAGCCAGAGGTAATGTATCAGGAAAAAAGTAGTCTCAGAAACAAGCAGAAGCTGTGGGGTTCTGAAGCCAGTGGAGATGAATAACCAGGGTAAGAGTCCCAGACTAAAGGGATGCCTGCAGTTGTGTCCCTCTGAACCAGCGGAACTTCCCAGCTGGCTGACGTTGGCTTAGTTCAGCAGCCGTCTACCCTTTCTCAGACCGAAACCCAGGTCAGGAACTTATAGAGCTCATACAAGAGGGGTAGCAATCAGACTTTGCCTTGGATCAGTGCCAGGTACATAGTAACCACTATGTAAATGT